GACTACTTCAATTCACATATTACTGTCCCAAACATTACAGTCATCTCTGCAATGAATCATTTCTCATCAAATTGTATGATACTGTAACTGTTTGATGCTGTATTTATTATACAAATTAAGTGGTAACACTTCACAATAAGATTTCATTAATGTACATGATTTAATGCATTAATTAACATCTAACAATGAGCAATACACTTGATACAGTATGTAATATCTTAATGTAAGTTAATACAAATACTAGTAGTCATTGTTAGTTCATATTAGTTCAAGACCATTAAATAATGTTGGTTAAAACCCTTGATTTTAATAATGTAGTAAATGCTGAAATTAACACTAACTAAGATTAATAAATGCCTTATAAGTATTTTAAATTGTTAGTTTATGTTACCTAATACAGTTAATGTTAGCAAATGGAACTTTGTTGTAAAGTGTTACCAAATAATTTTAGGAATAACATGAGCCAAAGTTGATACTATGAAAGCCTGAGCTATGAAATTGCAAAATCCGGGCATCATATTTGGATGTATATATGTATATATATATATGCACTATATATATTCTATATATATATATATATATAATGTATAGAAGGTTATATTATATTACATTAATGCCATTGATTTGTAATATGTCCAAAATAAGTAAATTAATTGTAAAATGTCCTCTTTTACCTGTAAGATTTGTTTGTTGTTGTATTCAGTTTTTCTGGTCTCTCCCACACACTTCGGCAGGCGTCTCCTCACAACATCCTCAAGCTTCATCCGGGCATCTTTCAGCTCGTCATCAGTGGAGTATAAGATCTCCTCAAAGATGTGATCTGATAGAAGGAGAACATTTGCAATAGAAATGTATAAATACAAATAAAAGTCTTCTCTGGTCAAATGAAAACTGCTAAGCAGAAAGAATAACACTTGTATTTAATTATTTACAATCCTGCGCATGTTTTTAACTAACCGCTCAGTTTGATGAACTCTTTCATTGCTGTTGTTGTTGGGTTCTCAGCACCTGTACCATTGCTTAGAATATTTGAGAGCTTCCTCTTGATATCTTCTTGTAATTTGGATTTAGCAATTAGTGAGAGGCTTGGGATCTTATCTTTCGCTGCTATGAGGGCTTCTGAGATCCTAATGAACAAATCAAAAACGTATGAACCAATAAACAACTTAAGCAACACTGAACTAGAAGAGCACACAAATACTTTAAAACTGGAGTACAATCAATGTAAACATACTTCTCTTCGATGATGTTGACGATCTTGTGCTGGTAGGCCTGGCTGTACAGAGTGTATCTGGTGTGAAACATGTCATAAATATTATCAGCCACCTGCGAGAGACAGAGAGTTATGAATTAGAGCACAGACTGACTACTGTATGTGGTTTCAGTGATCTAACAACAAAACGCTGACCACTAGCGATCGGATCACCAAAAATGCATCTTCATATCAGATGGAAGTAGAGCCATAAACAGTTAAATTTAGCTTTGCACAGGACTGCATTAGGAGAGTAAATAAATGTAGGGATTAAGTGTTATTTTATGTGTTTTTCAGTAAAGAGAAAGATGTTGATAGTTTATGTTAATGTTCAATGTTCAGTTATGTTGGACAATTATACATCGTGCACAATAATGAGTGACACTATTGATCCAACTAAACTGATTTATTTGGAAAATAAGTTGTGTGTAAAAATGTGTTCAGTTAAATTAAGTAAGGGTAATGAATTGTTTTTTGAGTATATATACATCAATATGGAAAAGGGCGTTCATCATATAAAACAAAAAAAAGATTATATCAAATGTATTAAGTATTTTACCTAGCTGGAGAAATCAGGTTATATCTACTGACAGTTATGCTTCAGTAAAACTTGTATTTTAGGTTGGTTGAATTCAGTAATAATCAGTAATCTTAAATCATTTATTAAAATGTATATACATCTTTGATTTCATTTTCATCTTATAGTTACTGATATAAACTGTACAGGTGATATGTTTTATGACACTGCACAGTGTCAATAAAGACAACTTTCTGTGGTGTAGGAAATAAATGATGTTATGAGAAGTAATAAATAATAAGTGATCTTGTGCATCAGGCACCTTGTCTCTGAAGCAGATGTGTTTTCTCCCGGCCACCTCACACACTCGAGCAGACTTCAGCAGACGCTGATGGTCAAAGCTGTTTGGGATGCCGAGGTGATGACAGTCTCTGACAGAGAGGACACAAAGGTACAGTATATTGAGTATGATTTTGGTTAATATTGTGCTGACTGCTATGCCAGAAACCTCTGACTTTATACAGAAACCTCTGACAGTGTGCTGCATCACACAGAAGCAATAGATTTCATCAGTTGTAGAAATGCTCTATTCAACCATAAAAACATCATGATATCTAACGTAATGTCTATTTAAGTATTTTACAATGTAATAATTCTTGTTAAGATTTACAACCATTATTACAATGAGCATCCCTTTAAAAGGTTATATTTTTACCTTGCAAAATAGTCCCATTTGCGCACATCAATGCCATTCCATTGATTTGCCACAATCTCATACAGGAAAGACTTGTCCTTAGTCCTGCCCTCCGCTGGCCACTGGAAGAATCAAAATAACTTCAGTACTCAACAGAAACACTGTATAACTTGTTGGGCATTGGAATGACAGTTCACAGGATTTTGTACCCCTTTAGCTGAAGTATTAACTCCCTTTATCAACTCCTGAATAAAGGTGAGATCTTCATTCAGCTCTTTTTTCAGGTCACTATTGTTCTCTACTATGTCCAGAAACAGCCACACCGAGGCCTCCGCAATCTATGAGAATAAAACACACAAACACAAATATATATGAATTGCCACATTTTCATATCTTTTAGAAATAAACAATGTAAACTGTATAGTTATAAATACAGAATTGTATGTTAAGCTGGGCATCTACAGTAAATTATTATATTCAAAAAGTGTCTTGTTTCTTGTCAACAGTATCTAAAACTGAATTAAGTGATCTGTAATTTATTGGTCTCCCGGTTTTCTATTCTTGTGGATAAACACAGAAAACAAGCCTGTCTTTCAAAACCTTTTTCTGAGCAATGTTTATAAAACTATAATTGTGTTTTTGTGTCCTTTTGGAGATCGGCTTTTGTGTTCTAGTGAATATGAATAAGTCATACAGGTCTGGGAGGACATAAGCGTGAGAAAATGATTACAGAATGATCATTTTATTGCTTTAATGTGAGTGCTGTATCAAAAAGCCTTGAAGTCCTCCAGTACACTCACTCAATAGACTTTTGTGTGTCACTGTAAACATTTATTGTGATTGGTTTTTGCCAAGACTTGCTTCTTTCAACAGCACAATATTTCATTTAATTTACTCTTAGTAGGTTACCTTAGTATTCACATTAGGTTTAATCAGGTAGCATTTGTTTGTATTTGTAAATAAAGCACTTTTCCCTAGAAAATAGCATTATGAATTATGAAATATACATGCTAAATTTAAAATACAGTTTGCATTGCATGCACAGTATAGAATAGTTTTTTTTCTGCTTACCTTCCACTGATTGCCTAAGAAAACAAACAAACAAAGGTTATTATATACATATTTCATAAATTATCTTAAAAGAACTGAAACTGAAGTCACAGTTATACACATTACTGAAAGAAATGCATCTATTCATCAGCTGTAGTCTAATAATAGAAATGCATTATTCAATTTTACTTTATGATATTTAGAAACAAAAATAATTTAAAAAAATAATAATAAATTGCATTATTAAAGCTTAAACTTAACTGAAAACCCAACTTTTCCCAGACACATTGGCATCAGTAAAGTGAGAAACTCAGGCACTTACCAGACTCTAGGACTTTAGGGATGAACCTGTCCTTAAACACGTACGAGAACGGACCATGACCTTAACGAAAAACATAACAGTAAAATATACTGCATGTTTCATATTTTATATGAGAACAATTTTATACTCTTTTCATTTGACATGCATCACATGACTTGCTATAATAAAGGTGTGAAGAAACTGTCAGTTAAAAGAATAAAAGAGCTTCAACCCTCTTACTCCTACAGATATAAAATCACTCAAGTACAAAGATATAGTATAACTATTTTGCTTTACCTCATTTTAAAATACCACAAACATTTTTTAGCAAACATTATTTAAATTTTACCTTTACATCGAACAAACTTTTAACACTTCAATTGGAATTCTCTAAAACTCTTTAAATAAATTCCAATTCTGCAAATAAATCTACATAAAGAATCCATTTCATATTAATTTATATGATTTATTTGTTATTATTTTTGTATTTAATTCCCTTTACATGGTTCCCCTCTTTTGAAAGATGTTCAACAAAAAGAAAAATCAGATGTGTATTTCTGCTCAAGTGTGCTTGTTTCTGGCACTCACCTAAATTATAGCACAGAGCAGCAATTTGGACGCACAGGATGTCTTTCTCGTCAATTAACTTGCTCTGTTTCTTTTCAAAATCCTCGAGTGTCTTTTTAAACTCCTCCTTTTCCTTTTTAAACTCCTCCTTTTCCTTTTTAAACTCCTCCTTTTCCTTTTTAAACTCCTCCTTTTCCTTTTCAAACTCCTTTTCATTTTCAAACTCATCTCGTTTCTCTTCAAACTCATCTCGTTTATTTTCAACCGCATCTCGTTTCTTTTCAAACTCCTCTTGTATTTTTTTTAATTCCTCTCGTTTTTTTTCAAACTCCTTCAGTTGTTTCTCTTTCAGAACTTCTGCCAGACGTCCTGCTAAATATGCAGCACTTACACAAACAGACAAGACATCATTTTAAATAAAACACATGATAAATCCAGCTTTTACATCATTTGATCAGTTGATTGATTCATTTAGAATCTGATTCTCTATATTGAACAGTATTGGTGATGGGCATAAGTAGCACTAGGTACAACAATGTAAATGATGTTTAGTCAAGTACATTTTATTTTTGCAGTAATGCCTACAGTTTATTCTAATCAAAATTAGTAACAATGATTCGACCTAATGAAACAAAAAGTGTTTTTCAGAATAAGAACTGAAAGAAAGAGCTGTTCCGACATTATTTACTGAGAAAAGGATAAAGTACAAAATACATATTATCTTTCCACCTTTAAGAAACATTTACTAGGGTAAATCAACCATACCATATGTCTCTGTGTTATCCTGCAACATATCCTACAATAACTTGTAGCTCATGAAAAAGTTTTAACAAGTTAGTAAATTGCACATAATGGAAGACAGTTGTAATTTCAACAATGACAAAGTCATGTAAGAATTGTTGACTATTTTCTTCTTCCATGTTTCAAATTAGTACAGAATATAAATACAACCATCTTTTATACGTTATACGAAGCAGATTGGTGTTACTTAAATTATATTGTTTTATACCCAGCCTTTGTGCAAAGCTAACACTAAAAGCAAAAGGTGTCTTGTCTAAATAGTTATATGATTGAAATTAAAATTTAATTAAAAAAACAAAATAATATTTCTTTTTTTTTTTCTATAAGAATGTACTCTTGAGCAAATTAGTTTGTGTAATATATTGTTTGTGCAAATGTGACTAGTGTATCAGTAACACTTTACAGTAAGGCCAATAGAAAAGGCCTTACATTACAGTTCTCTCATCTGCAGTACTGCTGCTATGTACTGTAATTATATTGTATGTGTAAGTAGTATTGAAACCCTGCAGATGAGCTGTAGGCTAACTTCCCTCACGGTCAGTCCATGCAGAAGAACATGCTCAACTATAGTGCTTTGTATTTCATCAGGAACAAATTACTTTGACCTCATCCCCTTCATTTTTATTTTCCCCACCAATTCCTCTTTGTCTCCCACTACCAGGATTCATTTTCCAAAACTCATAATCACTTGTGCTCCTGTGCATATCATCCAGAGATTCTGACCTGTGTCATCAGTTTTGCTACTGAATATTCACACATGGATAAATGTGTGCTGTTTGAGTTCAGTTTTTGATGCTTGAGTTAATTATATTGTGAGTTTGTGTTTTCTGAATGAGAACATGGTTAAACCTGTGCAAAATGATGGCGTTCTTGTGTAAAGTTTTGCAGAAAACACTGAGCAAATTAGAACGTGTGTGCAAACAGGTGAAGTGTGTCTTTATTTCGAGAACTGTATAAATGGTTTGGAAAATTGGGCCAAATGAATCAGTTACAGTGTGTTAACAATCGAGAAAAACTGTAAAGTATTGGATATCTGGAAGTTTGAAGTTTGCACAAGTTGGTGTGTAGTTTTGAGATTGTGTTTATAGTTGTGAGAAAATGGTGAATTGTTTCATGAATTGTGTTAGCAATCGAGAAAAACTGTAACAAGCATGAACTAATCATGAGCTAATTTATACAGCATTTATTAACCTTTGTTAATGTTATTTGATAGAAATGTTCACAGTTAACACAGATAACTGATTAACAGAACAACCTTTGATCTTAAAATCTGAAAATGTTGATTTTAACATTAACTAAGATTAATAAATGCTATAGAAGTATTGTTTATTGTTAGTTAATGTTAACTAATGTAGTTAATTAATGCTAACAAATGAAACCCTACTGTAAAATATATACTTTCATAATTCAGACAAAAGGACCATTTTCAAGGGTTTAAATATTTTTTCAAAGCACTGTGTGTGTGTGTGTGTGTGTGTGTGTGTGTGTGTGTGTGTGTGTGCACATAATAAAATAAAAATAAAAACATGGCTTACCCAAGAGAGTGTTCGAAGCGAGTATGAGTGGCTCCGGGATACACCAGATATGTTCCTCCTAGCTGTTTGATGTGTCTCAGTCTCTGAAACTGAGGAGTATCTGTGATCTTCACCAGCAGGGGGTGCAGCACAATTTGACCATGAATGGGGTCGTTGAAGATCTGCAAGATAAAAAACAGGCAAATACATCCACAAACATATAAACTGCCTTCCAGAAGTTTGGAAATGCACTAGGAAAAGTGAGGTTTTGGACAACATCAGAACATTTCAGGAATTCAGTAGGCAATTGATACTGGAATCAATGTGTTCAGTTTCATTCAAATTAACCCTCTCACCTATCCAAATGAGGAGAAAATACTTTTTTTTTTTTTCACTTTAATTTTTACCTTGCCTGAGGGGGTTTGATTGTCTTTGGATTCCTCATTTTTGGATTCTATGAAAAAAGCATAGCATTGTAAATCCTAAGTGTGAGAAATATATTTATTTTGTTTTATCATCCAAACTCAACTGGACATTTCAATATTAATATGAATTGGTCATTTCATGATTATGTATGTGTCATGCAAACACCTTCACCTGATTAAGCCAATTCTCAATGTAGCAGACAAATGGGTTCTAGGCCATATAAAGTGCTAAGCAACCTTAAAGGAATAGTTTGCCTAAAAAAGTGAATTCTGTAATTAAATCACTCTCACTCACTATCAATGAAATTTATGTATGTTGGTTTAAAGCAAATATGATAGCAGTGGGATAGAAAACTTGATAGAACTGAAATGAATGAAGATGGTGTATTAACATCCTGATATGAAATAAATAATTGTGTTAGAAAGTTTTACTCCTTAGTCTTGACAAAATGTAAGCTCTCATTAAAATATTACCATTTAAAATAATTTATATCACATGTCTCCAGTGTGTGAGTGTAATGAATGTACAGAGCAAGACAGCAGCAGTGTTTACATGACAAACACACACCTGCTGCTGATGTAGCCTGAGCTGAATCCTGTGCTGCCCCTGCTGAGGATGAGGCTGAGGATGAGGCTGAGGATGAGGATGAAGCTGTCTGCTGGACTGATGTGCTTTCATCTACAGGTTTAAGGTGACATATCATGGCTTATGGTACATTTCATTGAACCCCCTTTACAATCATTTTTTAATATAATATAATTATATATTATTATATAAAATGAATATCAGAACTGTACAAAATGAATGTCAAAGCAGTGAAGAAGAGAAAATAATAATCTCATAATCAGTGCCTGCCTCTGTTGATGGTTCTTCTCCTGCAGTATCATCAGTCACGACTGTTTGCATAACCAGACTTTCTAGTCTTGTAGACTTTAGCAATGACATTTTCACCATTGATTTCTTTAGTGTGTTTTTAAAGGGACAGTCCAGAACATTTTGAAGATCCAAGTTTTAGTTAACTGGACTCTTAAAAATCTTAATTTGTGTTTTGAATATTAAAAATAAGCCTATATTAAATTATCATTAATGGGTTTGCAATGACATGAGGGTAAATAAATTACAGTTTTCATTTTTGTATGATGTCACAATATTTGCCTGTGTCTATCTTGTGTTTTAGGTCTCTTGTTTTTATATTATATTCCCATTATTTCTGTACTTTCTTGTTCAGTTCCCTGTGCCACTGTGTGCTGCCATACAGTAGCTTCCCTCATTAGTTACCACATTAATTCATTAGCTCCTCCCTGTCCTTGTCATATTGTTATAGTGATAAATCCAGCTCTGTGTTTTGCTTTTAATTTGCACTTGGTTCCACCTCACCTTCGTCCAGCCAAGTATTATGAACTCTCCCTTTACATAATACTTATCTCAAGACAGGACATGAAAAGTAAATGAAAAGTAAGTTCACAACATTTGCAATAAAATTAACTTCAGTATGCCTCACTGAAACACTTGCATTAGCTCAAGCCAACGTCTAAACCTATATTAAAAATAATAAAAACTCTTTATTAAATAGCAGTAAGTAAATGAAATTAGCTGAGATGACAATCTATGCATTTGATTAAAGTAATGATATGATTATTCATCATCTGGATTCTCTGTAATGTCAGACCCTGAACTTTATATCCATGTGAACAGAACTCTGTGTTTTCTGGACCAATATTTGGTTTAAAATCCTCAGTGAAGCTTTGGTCGTAGCAATCATCACTCTTCACCATCAACAGCTAGCTGACTAACAAGGTCATGAATTAGCCCACAACAAGTTACATTACTCTTATTTCTCTTTATTTCCCCCCCTTTCTTCTTTTCATGATATTGAGACCTGAGAGCTTGAATGGATTCATGATAACACACATATAACAGGTGGAAACAATACAGTTGTGTCTCATGGCCATCTCTCTTCTCTGGACTAAGAAATGTACAGTATTAATATCATTGTTCTAATTCACCCACTTATTTTGTTCACTCCTACCCCATTTATAAAGTGCTTATGCAGACATTATATTTGCATTATATATTTTGTATTTCTAAATATCAAATGAAACACAAAAGCACTTGATGACTTGGTTTCAACAACAACTAACAGAGGAAACTAACAATGATTTATGTCTTGACACCGTATCAGATTATGTCTGGTTAGGACATACCTATTCAAATATAAATATGTAGTTCATTCATAAAACTCTACATACAAGCTGATTGGTCCTTCCAGCTATCAATAAGTTATTCATTTTGTACTTAATTCATGCAGTGCGAATCAGTTAAAATATATAAATAAATAAAAGAGCAGAAAGTAAAAAAATAAAATAAAAAGTATACAACACACATGATAGAGTAATAAATATGCAGATATGGCAGCACAATTGGAGTTACCTGAATCAGGCTCGAAATCAATAAACTGATTATTGTCTTTGCACCAGTCATGAAAGTACTTCTCAGCTTCCTGCTGGACCTTCTTCTGATCCTCCTGATTCTCTGGATCCTCCTGATTCTCTGGATCGTAATAGACCCTCACAAGAAATTCATGAAACTTCTTTGGCTTGAGATTGGACACCTGCAGGCACACAACAGAAACCAAACACAACCTTTCTCAAACCAAGAAAAAAGAAAAGAAAATGCCTTCACTCACCCAGGTATGAATTCAGGTACACACCACAAACTAGAGCAATCTGATAAAGCCTGAGCTCAAATCACTTTATCCATTAAACATACCACTAATTCATTTATTTTAGTAATGACTCAGTTAAAAAGACTATCTGATCAAATCTAATGCTCAAGAGATTCACAGTCATGATATTTATGAAAATCCTGGATGATAGATATTTGAGATAAGTGAGCTTTAGTACCTGGTACTTCTCCATCTTGAAGGCTCTGTTTGGCTCATTCTTGCTGTAGAAATGAACATTATCAATGGGCTCTTTACCCACTTCACCAAAACCCATCTCAAGAACCTGAATGAGATCAGATTTCAGATACGATAGAAAGTTAAACTAAAAATGAGTCACAAAACAGTCATTTTTATTGTATTATAATTTTGTACTATTTAAACATACATGAATGTCAAAGTTCTTCTCCTCCATTGGTGGTTTAAACTCGCTATAATTCTTCAGTATTTTCTAAAATTTTGAAGGGTAAAAATTTGAAAAGTATTACAAGAAATTAAATGTCAAATAATGGAGACAAAAGTTATTCAAGTGGGGAATATTCACTACAATTCAAAAGTTTGGAAACCATAAGATATTTCAGTTTTTGAAATAAATTAGTGCTTTCATTTATCAAGGATGCATTACATAATCAAAGGTGACAGTGAAAAACATTTATAATGTTACAAAAGATTTATATTTCTAATAAAACTAATTAGTATTCAGGGATACATAATAATATGTATTCAGGGATGTATGCAGTGTGTTGTGACTACAAACAAACATTATTATTAATCTATCAATATTAATCTGATATCACTTACAATTTTATGTGTGAACATCAAATAATAAAATGTGTATTAATACAAAACAGAAAATAATTTACACCATACACATGGTAAATGTAAATGCCATTTGTTTATATATGGATGGATAATAGATATCAGTATTTTTTATGTGTTTGTAGGGGCTTATTAAACAATATTGATAATATACCATAAAAAACTGAACTAAATAACACATGAATGATACCTGATACAGTTTGGTCTTGAAGGCTTTATCAGGCAGTGCTTTGGCCCCAGGTATTTCCTAAAGAATTTTGAAGGATTAATTATGCATGCAAATAAATGAAAAGAACATAATAATCTGATAAAACAGTCATTTCATGTGAGAATAACACATAAAACTATAGCTGCTAACAGCAATCAGTGTTGCCAGATTGGGTGGGTTCTTGCCCAAATGGGATTCTTTTGATTGGGTTGGACCGGAGAAAAATGCATTGGGCACGTGGACGAAATTTGGGCTAATTTTAAAAAGGACAGGTGGGTTTTGTTGTTCACTTTTTTTTTTTTTTTTTAATGTTATTTTAATACATTTGAACATATATAATTAAGAAAGTAGGCCTGGGAGAGTGACCCAACTCTGTGTGTTATGGAATACTGAAGTTCTGTTTAAATTTAAAGTGCAACATAAAGGTAAGTGCATTATTATTGTTAAACAAGGGGTAAAATCTGTTTGCAGTATTTTACATACTTTACTTTCTGCTAGTTTGGACATTTTTGTCATATTTGCTAATTGTCTTTTTTTTATTGTATTTGCCAAGTTTTGATGCATTATCCTTTTGAATTTTTCTCCAAACTGGGAAACTTATTAATGTCATCTTTATTAAGCATTAAGGAGGTAAAAACGTTCCTTATCAGCTATGGTAGAAATGGCATTGTAGCATTCTTTTGGCATTGAATCTTGGAATGGGTGGGTTTGGGGGAGCTTTTTAATGGGACATGTACCTCCAAAAGATCAAAAATCTTTTATATTCAATATAAGAAAGAAACTCATACAGGTTTGGAATGACATAAGGGTGAGTAAATTGTGAAAAAAATTTCTTTTTTGGGTGAACTATCCCTCCAAGTACACTGCAGAGCCAAATAAACTCTTAAACGTACATATCAGTGACTATATCCTCCTGAGAACCAGAAATAAAAAGCTTTGTGAATTTAG